GTCTTCATCTCTTGACCTCATTATCTGCCCGCTTTGGCCTCCCAAAGTGCTAGGATTACAGACGTGAGCCACTGCGCCTGGTCTATTTATTTTCTTTAAAATAATTGATAGGGAAGGAATGTTCACGTCTTATCATCTAGATGTTGCTGATTAAGTAATATAACTTTCTGTTTTTGCATGAGTAGGTGAACTTTTAGGAAACCCAGCCTACCCTTCAGGTGCCTCTGGAGCACCTGGCTGTTTCCCTGATGAAATAATTGTTTGTTTTTCTGGATACCTTATTGCCTGGTGACAGGTGTTTCTAGTTATCGGCCTACTATTTTAATTACAACTTTGGGTGGTGGTCTGAGATGAAATGTTAAGTTTGACACAATAATCAGGCTAGTTTGTGTAGCTGATTTGTTCAAAATAATAGCTTACATTTCCTAGAGCTTTTTGTATGCCAGGCGCTATGTGCAACACTGGATATACAATATTCTTATAGCAGACGCCCAAATCAGTGCTAGGATCATTTCCATTTTGCAGAGGAGGGAATGGAGATGAAGGAGTTGGGTCAGTTGGCCACAGGTGCACAGCACACAGCTAGGTGACCTCTGGGGCTGACTTACTGCATTTCGTAAGTACTTTTTAGGACCAACTAGGAACCATTGCTTAATGCAACACTTCAAAGTTACATTTGCAGAAAGAATAAACACTGGTTCTGTTATAAGGACACAAGCACTCGCGTGTTCATTGCGGCACTGTTTACAATAGCAAAGACCTGGAGCCAACCCAAATGCCCATCCATGATAGACTGGACAAGGAAAATGCGGCACATATGTACCATGGAATATTATGCAGCTGTAAAAAGCGATGAGTTCGTGTCCTTTGTAGGGACATGGATGAATCTGGAAACCATCATTCTCAGCAAACTAACACAAGAACAGAAAATCAAACAACGCATGTTCTCACTCATAGGTGGGTGTTGAACAGTGAGAACACATGGACACAGGGAGAAGAGCATCACACCCTGGGGTCTGTTGGCGGGGATTAGGGGAGGGACAGCAAGGGGTAGGGAGGTTGGGAGGGATAACTTGGGGAGAAATGCCAGATATAGGTGACAGGGGGTGGAGGCAGCAAATCACATTGCCATTTATGTACCTCTGCAACAATCCTGCATGTTCTGCACATGTACCCCAGAACCTAAAATGAAAAAAAAATATATTAAAAAAAATATATATATATATTATAAAAATAAAAAAATATATATTAAACAAAAAAAGAATAAACATTTTAGCTGGGCAAGGTAGCACGTGCTTCTAGTCCCAGCCACTCAAGAGAGTGATGGTCCAGGAATTCCATTCCAACCTGGGCAACATAGTAAGACCCTGATTCTTTAAAAAGAAATACAAATAAATAAGTAAACATTTAAGAGATTATATAAATTAAGTATTAGAATTTTATCACTGCATCCTGGAATAAAACTAAAACAAATACAAAGCAAAATGCCCTTAGATATTTGGAGTGATTCAGCCAGCTTCCTAAAGACCCCGTAGCTGGGATCGCAGTCCTCCTTCTCCTCTTTCCCGCACTGCCTCCTTCCACCTGGCTTCTAAAGGCAGGCTGTTGGGAGTTTCTCCGGGACTGCTGCTGCTTTCAACCTGGGGAATTTGACCTGATGCAAACAGTGACATTTGTATTCTGCACATTCCTTCTCTGAATGTCTGTTTTTACTGTTCTTGAGAGAGAGTATTAGCTGGGAGAGAAAAATTTTAATACCATTGATTACTTTCTGGAAGAGTTAATTTTTACTTACTACTGTGGATTTTTTTTTTTTTTTCTTAACAGTCACACCGAGGAGAAGACTCAGTGGGAACATCCAAAAACTGGAAAAAGAAAACGAGTGGCAGGAGGTTTGTATGTTACTGTCAAAGGATATTGGATTAAAGCATTAAGTAGATGGGGAAAATGTCACAGGCAGAGAGGTGACAGGTTATTGTGTCTCTTTGGGAGGGCTCTCTGGTAGAGAACCAGACTCTTACTCTGAGGAGCTTACCTGATTTGGCAGAAGACGATGATGAGATCGTAGCATAGACTGAGGATGATTTGTTACTGGTGTTAAAGTATCAAAATGGCCGGACACAGTGGCTCATGCCTGTAATCCCGCTGCATTGGGAGGCCGAGGCGGGCAGATCGCTTGAGGTCAGGAGTTCGAGACCAGCCTGGCCAACATGTTGAAACCTCGTCTTTTCTGAGACTATGAAAATTAGCCAGGCGTGGGGGTGCGTGCCTGTAATTCCACCTACTTTGGAGGCTGAGGCACGAGAAGTGCTTGAACCCAGGAGGTGGAGGTTGCAGTGAGCCAAGATCATGCCACTGCACTTCAGCCTGGGTGACAGCCAGATGCAGTCTCAAAAATAGCAACAACAACAACAACAAAAAACACAAAGTATCAAAATAATTGAGGCCTTTGAGTCACATTTTATGATGTTTTCCTGTAGTTGCGGTTGCTTATACAGCTAGTGCTCGACTTACGACCACGATTGGTTCCGACAGACCGGTTGTAACATGATTTGGTCATAAGTTGAGTAGGCTATATGCACGCGGAGATGGTAGTGCTGCCAGAAGCTGGTCCGCACTGTCGTACGCCCAGCTGGGCACCGTTTGTGCTGCCAGGCGCAGAGCAGTCGTGGCTAGCGATTGTGGTCATAAAGTCGAATGGTCGTAAGTTGCAAAGGTCGTAAGTCGATCAATACCTGTACATTGCTCTTGGCTATACCTTGGAAGTAAATATATAAGTATTTTGGGAATTTCGTAAAGATGATCATGACTTCTAGGTGATTCTGAGGTAGGGTGTGACGCACAGAATAGAAGTATAAGAAGGGGCCAGGCATGGTGGCTTGTGCCTATGATCCCAGGACTTTGGGCAGCACAGGTGGGAGGCTCACCTGCGTCCAGGAATTCGAGATAAGCTTGGACAACATAATGCGACCCCGTCTCAAAAAAAAAAAGTATGAGAAGGTTTGAGCCCTTAATAGGTTTAGGGTCTAATTGAAGAGTTAATCTGTGCACATGAAAAAAAATGACACTGCCCTCTAATACCGTACAAGGCATCACAAGTCAGTGTATGAATGACATTGGGTGCCTGCTTTACATATAGATACATTCTGTGAGCTCATTCAAGGGAGAATTCCCATTGATTGGCACAACCAGTAAGGTTCCTAGTGATCAGGAATAAAATAGGTTTTCTTCAAAGCAAGAGGCGAAAATGTGGAGCCCAAGTGGGATCAGGGGACTTCTGCAGCTGCCACAGTTGGAACATGTGACCAAATCCAGTTGAAGTGACAACTGGTGGGTGGGAGGGACAGGCTTGGGGGAGGGGCCGGGAGAGCTCCTCCCCTTCCTGACCTGGAGACCATCTTCACTTCGCCCTGGCACCTGTCAACCTGTCTTTCTTGTGTTTCAGATTTGCCATATGGATGGGAACAAGAGACTGATGAGAATGGACAAGTGTTTTTTGTTGAGTAAGTTTATACAAAGAAACCACTTTCAGCTGTTCGGCTTCTTAATAGAAATTTTTAATTATAAAAGTAATACAATAACCGTAGAATAATACAAAGTATAATGGTGTATACCTGTAATCTTAGCAGAAGTAACTACTTTTAACAACTCTGGATTTATTCTTCTATTTTCTATGCACATGCATCCTTAAAAAAAAGTAGGGAATGTACTGTGTGTACTGTTTAACAACCTGCTTTTTCCACATACTGTATAGTGAGCATTTTGTCATATCCATATCTGTTTTTCAAATAGACGCTATTTAGCAGCTCTAGAATTATTTTGTACAGATAGACTATAATTTATCAGATTGCCTATTGGACATCGATGATGTTAAATTCCTACTGAGAACCTATAATTATAAATGATGTATTGAGCATCCTTATCTGTAAGATTTTTTCACCTCTCTGATTCTGTCTTTAGAAGAAATTCCAGTATCTACCCAGGCTAGAGGACAGTGGCACAGTCATAGCTCACTGCAGCTTCCCCTTCTTGGGCTCATGTGATCATCCTCCCACCTCAGCCTCCCGAGTAGCTGGGACCGTAGGCGTGTGCTGTCACATCGAAATGTTGCTTGGTTTTTGTAGAGACGAGGTCTAACTATGTTGTCCAGGCTGGTCTTGGACTCCTGGGCTCAAGTGATCCTGTTGCCTTGGCCTCCCAAATTGCTGCCATTACAGGTGTGAGCCACTGTGCCCAGCATCCAATATATTTTAATACTGTTTCCACAAGACTTAAATCAATTCCAAATCAAAATGAGAGTGCTTGTAGGAGGTTTGAGTACAGTCTTAAAGTGAAGATTGTTAGCATTTTATTAGTCGGCAATTTCTTATTTACAACTAAGGCTTTATCATTTTGAGTTTTCTACTTCCCTACGTCTTTAGGTCCTTGTATAGGGCTAAGAGATTTAATTGAAATCTACTGAAAAGAGTGGCTGACAGATGTCATAGCTATGTTTACATGAATTAGATTAAGACCCAAAGCCTTCTCAAGAAGCCTTTTTTGAGATCTAAGGATACACGGCAATAGTTACTATATGTTACAGCATATTTTATAGGCAGTTTTGGAGGAAAGGGTTCGATGACTATCTTTCCTGGCAGAAATGTAATCCTTCTGGAGGCCAGAAAGATTAAATGGGCCCCAGTTCTTTTCAGGTTTAAGAAATAAGCGTTTTGGTACATGAAAAATGGGGTTTGCCTTAACCGTAAGATTATCTTATATTTATAAATGCCAGCGTTCTTTGCTGTGGGTTCATTACTTTCTCCTTTTCTGGGCAGCCACATAAATAAAAGGACTACCTACTTGGACCCAAGACTGGCGTTTACTGTGGATGATAATCCGACAAAGCCAGCCACCCGGCAGAGATATGACGGCAGCACCACTGCCATGGAAATTCTCCAGGGCCGGGATTTCACTGGCAAAGTGGTCGTGGTCACTGGAGCTAATTCGGGAATAGGTAGGCAGTTAATTTAATTTATTTGTTTATTTGTGGGACTGCTATAATGATATCCACTTAAATCTAACTATAACGGAATTTTGTATAGTGGTTCTCTGATTTAAACTTGAATCTTATCCTTTTCAGCTGTCATTTCATTAAAATCACCACTTTCTTGAAATCCTAATGTTGTCATGGAAGGCTCTGTAAGGGCTGACCTTGAAGTCTCTGAAAGCTGAATGCTCGGCAAAAGACTGCGGCTCTTTTGGTATTCAGGGAGAAGAGAAAACAGGCTCCGTCTAAGAGTTTTTGACCTGGTCTGCCTGGTGTGTGGACATATTTCAATTACCTGGGTTATTCAAACCAAAATTCGTTGGTAGTAGAATATGGGGAACAATAGGGTATTATGACTGGGGAACAAAGGATACTACAGGTTTTGACTGGTCACTGAGCATATCATTTTCTTTTTGGGCACAGGCTCTTATTTCCTAATAAAATCGGAGAATGAGTTCCTGTCTTCACTTCTAAATTAACCCTCTTAATTGCCATTGTTTACCCACAGGGACCATCATGGTAGATGGCATGAGAGGGTGTCCTTGCTCCAATGGTGGGCTGGTAAGGAAACAAGAGCAAGGCAGAAGCAAACCATAACTCTTCTAGGATTTATTCTTATTTTGCTTTGGTCTATTTATATAAATATCTGAATCAGTGAGAACCAGCCGCTTCGAATACATGTATGCATCTTTGGATTTGCTGACGGATAAAACATTGCATTGGGCTGTCTTCTGTCAAGTTCTCTCTGTCCTTATGGTGTACATAAAGGTGTACATATTTATGGGGTTCATGAAATGTTTTGATACAGGCACGTAATGTGAAATAATCACATCCTAGTGAGTGTGGTATCCGTCCATCCCCTCAAGAATTTATCCTTTGAGTTATAAACAATTCATTTATACTCTTTTAGCTCTTTTAAAATGTACAATTAAGTTACTGACTATAGTCATCTTGTTGTGCTGTCAAATAGTAGGTCTTATTCTTTCGATTTTTTTTGTACCTATTAACCACCTCCACTTCTTTCTTAATTTGGAACAGTTCCTTGAAGCTACAGAAATATTGTCTAGCATGATTAGGGAAGCACAGGAGGTAAAAATACATTGTCCAGGGATCAGTTATTGTCTTGTACAAGGTCTAGAATCTAACAGGTTGCAATCCGAGTGCAGAACTTTTGACTGTACTTGCCTATGAAGGTAAATAGGCAAATTGGAATGTGTTTTAAGAATCGAAAGAGATTTATTTAAAATGAAATCTCATACCTCATCCTGGGCTCCAAATATGTTCAATCCACTTGACTGAACTTCTGCATTGGAGTGAGTTTTATGTTATTGTCATTGAAGTGAAAACTGATGGTGTAATAGTAAAAACAGTGGAAGCAGTACATGGTGTTGATCATATTAACTACTGTTAGGGTGAATGTGTGGGGCCACACAGTTGTGGAATTATTAAGAAAAAAGGATTTAAGGGCTTAAAAAAATATTTTTAAAAATTTAACGAGTTAACCAGAAGATTAAAAGATCTTATTCTCTTGATCTTCCAGCTAGACTGTTTTTCCCTAATGATTAAGGAATGTGACTGCTGATTATTTTTTTGTGTTAAGTGTTCAGACTGCTCCACCTGACATTAGACAGCAGACCCTTAAAGAGAGCTCATGCTCTTTCAAAGATTTGCAACAGCAGACCCACAACATGGTAATCCAGGACTGGTAGAATTGGTTCAGCATATGAAAAGGGTGATGTCTAGTTAGATATTGAAGTCGTGATGGAGAGGAGGAGATTCTGAAGCATTGAGAATAAATTTGTGGTTGTTGAGAATGGCCCTTGCATCTTGGAGTAAAGCCAAAAACTCTCTGTGCCTCTTTGCAGCTCCCACTTCCCCCTAAGACTCTTCCTTCCTGATACTCATCATTCATTTTGCGGACACTGCAGGAGGGGTCTGCAGTCCCATTGGAGCTCTTGGCAAATTGTAATGCTCAGGACGGCACAGATGTCACGCAAGGTCTTAGGGAGACCAGCCTTTCCCATTCAAGTGCCCACAGCTCTTTCCCCAGCGGTCACCTTCCTCAGAAATGGCCTTTAACACCGCCACCTCACCCCATCCCCCTCCACTCTTGGGGAAGCATAAGTCTAGGTGAGTGCCGAAGATTTTCTTTCTGAAGTTTTGAAATAACATTGTACTGCAAATCCAGGCAATCAAAAACTCACAAATCACTTTCACTCTGCAGCAGTGGTATCAGGCCTGAAGAAAGGAGGCTGAAGATAGGCACATGGCTTTGCTAAGTTAGCTTTTATATCCTGAGTGGCTGCCTTAGAAAGTGTCCTTGCCCAGGTAGGCTGTGGCTTCCAGATAAAGTCCTTCTACTAAGCTGTGAAACATGCCAATTTATAAATTGCTATCACTACTTTAGTTCTGCTCATTTCAAATAAAATAGCTGAATGCCGAGTGAGTGAATTTGGGCATCTTTATTTCCAAGATTTCTGGGGCATTCAAGAGTCATCTTCTGTCGAAGCTTTCATGGTGCTGGTGTTCCCTTTCCTTTGGCCACTCAAGGCAGCCTGTTTGCTTTGGATAAACTGTGAAATCTTTAACCTCGTGAATGTCCATTTTCTCTAAGGCAGAGTGGGCTGAAACAAAACATAACCGGATTTATTTTGAAAGTGGTGACTCTACAAATAAAAACATAGAAGCCTAATTTGCCTTATAAAGGCCGATTTACAAATAGCGTTTCCAGTGGTTCTTTTTTTTTTTTTTTTTTTTTTTTTTAAATGCCCCACAAGGCACTGCTTTGTTGGAATAGCAATTGGTGGGGATCTCACTGATACGGAAGGGGGCATCCCTTGCTTGACATCATTCTTCAGGGTTGCACTAGTGCCATGCCCCCTTTGAAGTGGCCTCTAAGCAAACTCCATCTTGTCATAATTTTCCTCTCCCTGGCTGCTAGTGAAACGGAGCTGTATTTTGAGTTTTTGATCATTGATTCTGCTAAGGCAACTGGAGAGATTCTTAATTCATCTAAAAAAATCAGTGATTCTGACAGATAAAAGGATTTGGAGGAAATGTCAGAATAAAGCACTATGGGTTCATGAAATCCTTGCTTTTACACTTAAGGTTTATAGGCAGATATTACCACTATCAACTGGATTAGGCTGTCTAGATTGGGGGTGAACAAACTACGATCTCTGGGCTAACTCTGACCCACTGCCTGATTTTGTAAGTAGAATTGTTTTTGGAACACAGCCATGCCCATTTATTCCCATTTCTATAATGGGGAACTGCTGTATGTGTGTATTCCGTTATTCCAAAATAACATGCCTGTTTGCATGTTACCAGAAGAGTTGACCAATTTTGGTGGAGATCATATAGCTCGCAAAACCGTAAATATTTACTCTTTGGCCTTTTCCAGAAAAAAAAGTGCTGACTCCTGCATTAGATAATCCAGTTCATTCAAAGTGATATCACCCCAACATTCTCTAAATTAGCCGCAGCTTAGATGAAATTTAGGCAAATGGGATGCCCCAGGCCACAGTAAGATTTGGCAACGCATTGTGTGGAATTGTTGCACCAGTGTCCTTTACCCCCTGTGCCCTTTGTCTCAACCCCGCCCCCCCCGGTTTTTTTTAGGGAGCTGCAAGGATTAGAATGTTGCCTCCTCAGACACTAACACTCTTCTCTCCTTGACCTTTGTTTAACCAGCTTTCTGAACCTGAAGAACTTTGTAGATTGAAAACTGTAGCTTGTGGACCCCTCTCTGTGGAGATCAGCATCTCAGTATCCAGGGGGAAGTCATCTCTTCACCCAAAGCTTCTGCTAGCACATCAAGAGGCCCGGAACCCCGCAGTCCTGAATGCTAACCAGTAGAGACAAGGGAGGAATTCATTTCTGTTTGTGTTCAACGTAGACTGAGCAGGAAGGGCCAGGTGTTTTACGGCTCTTTGGAGTTAGCAGCTTGATGGCTGTGATTTGGTAAAAACGATTGGAAATGCCTTCAGCACGGTGATCATTACATGCAAGTGTTGTGAAGCGTTAGGAAAGGGAATTTTTTTTTTTTTTTTTTTAGGTGAGGGAATTTCCCATTGAGGAAGACCCCTGCTTCGTTTTTAGACTCAGCCTATCAGTCAACTGATTTGGCTGTGCATGTAAATACTTGAGTATAAAATGCTGCCCCCTGCTACCTGCAGGCTGTCATGTTGCTCATCAAAGGCAGGATCCTTCTAATGAGGGATTAGCTGGATGCCTAAATGCGGGACCACCTACTCTGTTCACTGTCTTAATTAGCTAGATGTTTGTTAGAGCTCATGCAAATTATTTTCTGTAAGCAGACAGATTTAGTGTCATATCTAAGGAGTGACATCCAGGGTTTTGTCAGACATCCATTAAAATTCTTTTTTTTTTTTTTTAAATATTTGAGATGGGGTCTCACGATGTTGCCCGGGGGTTGTTCTTGAACTCCTGGGCTCAAGGAATCCTCCCACCTCAGCCTCCCAAAGTACCGAGATTACTGGTGTGAGCCACCGTGCCCAGATGCTGTTAACAAGTATGAACAGATTCGATATTTTCAGTCTAATCTTCAGTGGTAATGATAATAAAACTTCTTAACTTTCATTCCTAATCCAGTAGTGGCTAAAACTTGATTTTAAAAGTTTTTTCCAGAATTTGGTCCAGATGAAAAGTTTCTTTCACCTTGTGAACATTTAGAACGCTGGGCTGCATCATATGTTGTGACTTCAAAGCTAGAATAACCTCACTTCGTTTCAGTTTTTGAGCCAAAAGGACCCATTAACAGAAATAAAACTTTTCTTCTTGTGAACATATACAAGCTGGCCACATTGGTAAATACCAGTGAAATGTATTTTGGGACTGACACTTGAATTTTCTATTGGTATTTATGTCACAAAATCACCTCTCTAAGGTTTATTACCTGGAGATACACACACACACACACACACACACACACACACTTACTTTTATATCAAAATGTATATATTTTGAGGTATAAAAAGTACGTGCTCAAGGTATCAGTCACTCCTAAATTTGTTTTCCTTGAAACAAAACGAAGGTATCAAATTTCATGCAGGGAACCCCAAAGTGTTATCATGGCGTGATGTTGAAATTGATGGTCTTAGCTTAGAGAGCCTACTTTTTAAAACTTGGGGTCCTGTTTCTAAATCATGTGTTGAAATTACAGTGTGAACTGGACTTGCCATACTCTTTGATCCTGCAAATCATCACTGTGATGACCTCCTATCTGCTGCAAGTTCGACCCGTTCTACACTAATACAAGAACATTACTTTTTCTTCATGTAGAGAAGGGTGTTCATTCCTAAGACTTTAAATCCACACTTCCCATTTATGGAGTACACCGGCTTCCTTTACTCCTTTGGTTCTTTGTTTTCTTTTTCGTACCTAGATGTTACTAAATTTTGCCTTTGAGCCTAAACCATGCTGTTGATGTTTTTTTTTTTTTTTTTTCCCCACTTATTCCGAAAGGTCCCATAAATCTGAGGCCATAGCTGACTTAGATTTAGTCATTTTCTTGGGTAAAACATACTCATATGAAATCATTACACTTAGGATCTTGAAATGCATGATTAGTTTCCTTTCTGATTGTTGACAAGACGAACTAGTGGGATCTTGGCATTTATCTTTTTAAGAGCCTGGTGCTCATTAAGAAAAGGAAAATATTCTGAAATAATCGAAATAACCTTTTGGGCATTGAAACTCCATTTTGAATTAAAAACATTTGTGTCTGCTATTCTCTTATGCTAAATTATATCCAGGTATTATAAGTAAAATTATTTGGAAGTTACTTTGTTCTAAGAAACTATGGAGATTATTGACAATATTAGAAAGAGTCCTTAGCTGATAATTATATAAAAATTGAGAATTAGCACCTTATGACTTAACCATTTTACATTGAAATGTTATTGGACATTGAATGTACATGGAAATCACATGGTCAAAGTATTTGAGAAACAAGTATCTCAAGGAAGATACCAGTTTAAAACATTCAAATGAGCTTCATCTCATAATTTGGTAATCTCATGTAAAGTACTTTGGATAGGGGTGTGTATCTGTATACATACATTTTAAAAATAGATCTGTAATCACATATACAGTAGTGCCCCCTTATCCATGGTCTTTGACTTTTTTTTTTTTTTGAGAGAGTCCTGCCCTGTCACGCAGGCTGGAGTACAGTGGTGCAATCTCAGCTCGCTGCATCCGCTGCCTCCCAGGTCCCAGTGATTCTCGTGTCTCAGCCTCCCGAGTAGCTGGGATTACAGGTGCACACCACCACGCCGAACCAATTTGATGTTTTTAATAGAGACAGGGTTTCACCATGTTGCCCAGGCTAGTCTCGAACTCCTGAGCCCAGGCGATCTGCCTGCCTCAGTCTCCCAAAATGTTAGGATTACAGGTGTGAACCAGTGTGCCAGGACGCTGTTTCACTTTTTGAGGTTTCAGTTACCTGAGGTCAACAGGCACCTGAAAACACTAATTTCGAGAGAGAGAGTATGTGTGAGAGACCACATTTATAAAACTTTTATACAGTACGTCGTTACAGTTCTCTTATTATTGTTGATCTCTTACTGTGCCTCATTTATAAATTTATCCTAGGTATGTATGTATAGGTGAAAATGTAGAATACATAGGGTTTGGCACTCTCCAGTTTTTCAGGCATCACTGTGGGTCTTAGAACGCCTCTCCCGAGGATAAGGGGGGCTACTGTCTGTGTGAACCTGATGAGATCTCATCTGAAACTTTTTTTGTCACATGAGGTCATCAGTTAAATTTCATGCTTGCACATAGGTTTAGAGTTTAATTGCTTTTTTGTAGCATCAGCATAACAAATGAGGGTCATACAAACCATTGTTCAATGACAAAGTGGTTCAGACTCATAATTTAAAAACTAATAAGAGATTTTTGTTTTACTTGAGGTCTTGTAGTGTTACATCAAGCTTGAAAATTTGGAACTTGTTTTACTTAAAACCCAATTAATTTGATCTTTTGCTTTTATATCATATAGTGACACAGTAAGAATTGTAATGGAAGACAGTATTCTGCGTAGTGTCTTTTATTTTTTGAGATGGTGTCTCACTCTGTCACCCAGGCTGTAGTGCAGTGGTATGATCTCAGCTCACTGCAACCTCTGCCTCCCGGGTTCAAGTGATTCTTCCGCCTCAGCCTTCTGAATAGCTGGGATTATAGGCGTGAGCCACCCTGCCTGGCTAATTTTGCTAATTTTTGTATTTTTAGTAGAGGTGGGCTTTCGCCATGATGGCCAAGCTGGTCTTGAACTCCAGACCTCAAGTGGTTTGCCCACCTCGGCCTCCCAAAGTGCTGGGATAAAAGACATTAGCCACCATGCCTGGTGGTATTCTACCTATTTTCTTTAAGAGCAGAAACATCTTTATGTATTTTTATTTTTTTTCCACTAGAGGGCTCTGTTGCCCTTTGATACAATTAAACAAAAGCAACAGCATCGCAATATAGTTTTCTTCCTTCCAGTCCATCTTGCTTTCATTTTTGTTAAAATAACGTCTTTTACTTTTCTAACATATCTTTGAGGTCTTATACTTCTCTGTGATAGAGTTCAAACTGAAGACTCTTACTAGTGTCATGTTTGTTTCTTTTCCTCTGCCTTTTGTTTTGTTTGTATAAAATGCCAGGGATGAAGGGATCACCTTAATAAAAAGGGCCATTGTATTCAGGGAGCGGGCTGTTCTGCCATTCTGCCAAATCACACAAGGGCATGTGTTTTCATGATGATATTGGTTTTGAGTGTGCTGGCCTAGCAATAATATGATTTTTTTTTCCTAAGTGGAAATTGTAATATTTACATATTAATACCTCTGTTTAAGGTTCATTTTCAATGCCTTGGTGACCTTATGTTTTTTCCTTTTTTTTTTTTTTTTTTTTTGAAATGGAGTCTTGCTGTGTTGCCCAGGCTGGAGTGCAGTGGCACAATCTTGGATCACTGCAACCTCTGCCTCCAGGGGTCAAGAAGTTCTCTGCCTCAGCCTCCCGAGTAGCTGGGATTACAGGAGTCCACAACCATGCCTGGCTAATTTTTGTATTTTTAATAGAGACAGTTTCACCATCTTGGCCAGGCTGATCTTGAACTCCTGACCTCGTAATCCACCTGCCTTGGCCTCCCACAGTGCTGGGATTACAGTTGTGAGCCACCGCACCCTTTACCCTATGTTTTTTCTAAAGAGTATAGTTTCCCTTGCCCCTGCCCCCAGTCTTAACCAGTGTTACATAATTTATTGTAATTAAATTGTTTTTTAGTGATACATTCTTGCTCTAGAAGAAAACATGTCCTTTTGGGCTCAGTACAGCATATGTTTTTTAAATAAGAGGGACCATATTAAACTAGCCTCTCAACGTGAAGCCGATAGCCAGTGTTCTCTGTGTGCAGTCTTCAGGAGGGTAATTTTTATTTTGGCTCTATAATTACGGTTTGAGGCAGCCCATTAATCGCATACTTCAGCTGTAGAATAGAACTTTGGCCCGGAAAAGAATACACTTTGGGTTTACAAAACTGCTTATTTTCAAATCTTTAAACGGGGACAAAAACGAATATGCTATATTACTTTTATTTATAAATTTTTTTCTCAGCAATTTTTTCAAAAATGCGAGAGCTGAAAAACATTGCAAATATACTTGTAACATTGCCAAACTATTTCACCTGAGTCAAGATGTTTTGGTTGTCTATATACGAATGTATTTGTTTATCAAATAAATTGTTAAAACTAGACGGCTATCTGGGAGTTATTATAGACTTCATAATAAAAGAGATGCCGACGGTGGAACCCCGCCCCCCCATTGTTGCCTATTTGGTATGACGTAGCCCTTCTTGGACTTCTGTAACCTATCCATGAGCAGATATGAATCCTCAGCCTTCTCCAAAATGACATTTGGGTCACTAGGAGGCCTTCTTGGAAAGATCTCTTAAAAAGGCACCAGTAGATGGATCACAAAGCAAGGTGTAATAGCTCGTGTTTAGTTTCTTGCCCGAATTTAGTTTCTTGCCTACATTTGCGATCTCCCTTTGGCTTCATAAGTAACAGTACATTTCATGAAGTGCTGGTGTTGGTCTACACCTTACGAAATGGGGTACGTAGGAAGGGTTGTGTGGTGCGACAGGGTTTCAGTCTACTTGTTCTAAGTCTTTGAGTTATTTGCTTACCAGGCTGTGTTGCCTGGTGGTTTTACTTTCTGTGAATTTTGGAGCCTTCATGTTAGAAGTCGTATTTAGATGGTGCTCTCTGAAAGCAAAACAAGGTTTCTTCACTACACTCTAAGAGGATGTCTGAGATGGTGTGCGGGAACGAAAGACAGACAGATGGCGGGCAGGGAGGAAACCCATATTTCGGTGTTGCTACTATTTCTTCCTAGGTGGAGGGTAACACGCCGGATGAACGGAGCTAAGCCTTTTGTATAAAGTTTATTTCATATAAAGAGGAACAAAATCAGAGTCAGATTTCTTCAGTTGTACAGAAACTGAAGTTACAGCTAATACAATGCTTTTCGTTTCTACACTTACCTCTAAAATGTATTTAATTGTTACAGATTAATATTTATTAATTAGAATATATCGATAGTGCTCTAAAATGTATGGAGATTTCCTTCTTGTCATATTTAATTCTCACCACAGTGCTTACAGCTGTCTTGTGATGGTGCCAAAAGGAAAGTGCAAAGAGGCGAGGTGACGTACCTGAGATCATACAGCGTTTTGTGGAGTGGGTGCTGCAGGATAGAGCAGAGGGTAATTGATTCCGTGCCTTGGGCCCCTTCCTCTGTACATGCCACCATCTTGTTGGGAGGAATAACAGCACACAGTCCTGAACGAGCTGTTTCTGAGCAGCTTATTCACTTTTGTTAATCTTGGGTTTGGAATCAACTACTTTATTTAAACCTATGAAGGCTCCCTTTGTGCGCGGCCAAGTGTTGGGAGTGGCATCTGCCGGGAGGGCCACAGCGGATGTATTTTCTGGACTCCATGTTGATCCTGGATTCGGAAGCTGAAGCTTAGGGCGGGCACGGTAGCTCATGCCTGTAAACCCAACCTTTTGGGAGGCTGAGGCAGGAGGATTGCTTGAGCTTAGGAGTTGGAGACCAGACTGGGCAACATAGCAAGACCCCCATCTCTAAAAAAAAAAAAAAAACAAAAACATTTTTTTTTTTTTTAAACTGCAGCTTCCTTTACCAAAACCCCTTTGGTGTTATGATTGCAAAATAAGCATTGAGGAATAACTCTTGGGGAACGGGAGGTAGCATTTGTCAAGCTCTTATATATGCCAGGTGTTAAGCTAGATTAGCTGGAGAGGCCTTCTCATTTAATATAATAATTATTTTAAAGATTCTTGTGATTAACATGTATTATGGAAAATTTAGAAAATGAAGATAAAATAAGAATGAAAGATTTAAAAACCCCCAAATTCTTACCAATTAGAAGTATACTATTAATAACTAGCAAATATGATTCTAAGCATGTTTTCCCTGCTTTTGTGATTTTTCCATTTGGCTATAAATTGTGAGTGTCTTTCTGTGTTGCTAAATACTCTACATCTTAAATGGCTGCATAATATTCCATTATGTGGTTCCCGCCCTTCTCCCAGTATGGTACATTTGGGTGGATTCCAGCTTTTTAATAGCTATGGAATGGAGAAGCGCATTTTGTAATTAAAGGTTTGTACCCATCCGTGACACTACTATAGTTTTGTTTTGTGGAAGTGGAATTGCTGAATCAAGTGATTTGCTCCCAGACCTTAGTATCTTGATTCGTTTTGTCAAGCTGCCCTGGAAGGTTGTACCAATTTGAATGCTCCTTTGCCCAGCGTCCTTGCCACACTTGAGATTTAGAATTTTTTTTTTTTTTTTTTTTTTTTTCGGGGCGGGGGTTTCGCTCTTGTTACCCAGGTTGGAGTGCAATGGCACGATCTCGGCTCACCGCAACCTCCGCCTCCTGGGTTCAGGCAATTCTCCTGCCTCAGCCTCCTGAGTAGCTGGGATTACAGGCACGCGCCACCATGCCCAGCTAATTTTTTGTATTTTTAGTAGAGACGGGGTTTCACCGTGTTGACCAGGATGGTCTCGATCTCTTGACCTTGTGAT